GGATTCTCAACTTGTAATGGTTCTTTATGATTAAATAAATAAATGACACCAACCTGATTGCGGGATTAAAAAAAAAATAAAAATAAAAAAATAAAAAATCAATTGCAAATTACTTTACTTTTAAAGATCTTCAAATTAAATTAAAAATCATTAATATTTTCAAAAATATCTAAAACTTGAAATTCATTTAAAATTTTATTAAATTTATTTTCAGATTCAATTGTCAATATATATTTCTTGATATGTTTAGAATAGTTTGAATATCAAAAAAAATTTTTTTAACAAAATAAACATTTATAAAATATTATAGAAAACTTTAAAGTATTATAAAAATTATAAATTAATTTTAGTCAATAAAAAACAAATAATTTTAGTTAATGAAAATTAGATAATTTTAATCAATAAAAAATTTAATTTAAATCTATATAAATTGCATAAACATATACTTTTGTATTATATTATAATTTAATTTAATAAAGTTTTTTGAAATAATATAAAAAATAATAAAGTATTTAAAGATAATTGTAATTTATAACAATTTTTTTAAAAAAATTTTTTATATAAAATTTCTATATATATATTTTTTTAAAATGTTTAATCAAAACAAAAGAAATATAATAAATTTAATATATGAGTTGTGACCTACTCATATAAATTTATAGTAAATTTAAGTATCAAACTGATATTAAAGTGATATCATTAGGAGCCCTATTAATTACAGATTTTTTTTTAAAAAAAAAAAAAAAAAAAAAAAAAAAAAATTCCAATAAAAATCTTTTATATAACTTTAAAAAAACTAAAAATATTTTTATTAATATTAAAACATTAAAATTTTTTTTATATTTGATATATTTGAAGAATTATAAAAGTATATAAAGACTTTCAATTTATATCTATTATTATTTTTAATAATATTTCAAATCTTATATAATTTTATATAATTTTGTTTAATTTCAATTTTCAATACTATAGTATAAGATATATATGTAAGAATAGATTCCTAAATTATTTAGCATATAAAATTTCACAGATCAATTATATCTCTTCAAAAGGACATAATTATTTATTTATTACTTTAATAAGAATATAATTCAAAAAACACTTGAATTAGATAGTCTAAATTGCAAAAAACCTTTATAGATAGTTTTTTTTTTACTTTATATTTAAAAAAAAAAACTTTTTTAATAGTGAGAAACATTTGAATTATGTTTTTGCCTTTAATTTAGGAGCCTATCTTTATATATACAGTTCGTCTAAAAAGTCTTTGGACAAATATTTTTTATAATAAATAAATAAATATTTAATTATTTGCTATAAAATTTCAAAAATATATTTTTTAAAATATAAAAAACAAAATAATAAGTTTTTTTTAATACTTTATTAATAAATTTATATATAAATTATAGACGGAAAAATAACTTTTTTTATATAAAATTATTTGATTAATAAAAAATTATAAAAAAATTTTTTATAATGTACAAATTAATTTTATAAAAATAATTTTAAAAAAATTTTAAGTTTTGATTTTAATATAAATTTTGATAAATTTCTTTAATTAAAAAATTAAATAAGCAACTTAAAATTTAATAAAAGTTATTTTTTAATTAAATTTGATTTTATTTTATAAATTAATACATTAAAATTATTATAAATAATTTATTTATTTATTGTAAGTTAATTAAATCATATATTTTAAAATTTTTTATTTTGATATAACAAGGAATTTCAATAAATTTCAATAATATATTAATAAAAATCTATTAAGTAAATTTGTTTTTTATATTCTTAATATATATTTAAAATTTTATTTTATTTTATAAATTATTTATTAAGTTATAAATAAAAATAAAAATTGAAAATTTGTTCAAAGACTTTTTAGACAAACTGTATATATATATATTTGTAAAATAAAAAATTTTTAAAAAAATTTTAAACTTTTTAATTTATAATAAATTTACAAAAATATAATATTTGTTATTACTATTATAATCAAATTAATATTAAATTAAATATTATTTTTAAATATTGTAATAACTTTTGAAAAGATAAATTATATTTAATAAATTAGATAATCTTGTTATTATTTCAAAAGTTAAAAAATATTAAGATTTTTTTATTTATTATATAAAATTAAAAAAATTTGTATTTATTTATTTATTTATTTAAAAATTAAAATTAACTCACTTTTATTAAATTTAAATTATTAAAATATTCAAATTTATAAACAAATAAATAATATTATTAATCTATTTTTATTATTAAATACTATATATATATATATTCATTAAACTTTTTAAACAAACAATATTAAATACTGTATATAATAACAATTTATAACAATATTATTATAATATCAAAACAATACAAGTTATAAATTATTTTTTAATATGTAAATATTTCTAGACAAATTTGTTTAAAAAATTAATAAAAATATATTTATAATTTATTTTTTTAATAATGTTTGAAAATAAAAACTATATTATAGTAATATTTAATTTTATATTATAAGAAAAAATTTAAACTTAAAAAAAAAATTTATTTATTTATTTTTAATAAATTTTCTAAATATTAATTTTAAACAAATAGTTTTTAATATAACATTAAAATTTATATAAAAAACTATAATTTTTATTATATATTTTTCAATTTAATTTGTGAAAACTTGATGAGTAAAAAATATTTTTATTTTTGAAAATATATAAAATTATAAAAAAAAAGTTAAAATTTTTTCATAATAAGAATTGGCAAATAAAAATTTGAAAAGTTTATTAATAATTTTATAATAAAATTTATAAAATAGATTTTAAAAAATATTTTTAAAAGATAAATATATTCTATATTATTAATAAATTATTGTTTTATTTAAAAAATATTATTTAATTTTGTAAGCAATTTTCTTGCAAAACAATTTAAGAAATAATATTTGACAAGTAGAGATACATGATAAAACAAAATTATTAATTAATTAATTATATACAGTATATATACAACTTAAGAAAAAAATTTTTTAATCAATTAATTGACATTGTAATTCTGAATTAAATATAATTTTTAATTATTTGATATAATTCATTTAATGATTTAATTATTCTTAATTTAATTGCGATCATCATGCAATCAGGTCAGAATTTTTTGAACTGCGTTTCCTAACCGAACATTCTGAATTAGCTTTTCTTCGTCCAAATACATGACGTTTTGTTTAATCGATCAGATCATTGTTCATTGAGAGCTGCACATATCCGGAGTATGTTGATCCGGGTTGGCTGACCATTCTCCTGCAGAATGCGGACTGCCATAAGTGTTTTTGAATCACACCATTGAGTTTTTCCTTGTGGCGTTAGCGGCTGTGGCGAGATCGCAAATTTTATTAGAACTTCATAATCGGAAGTAACGATTTGTCTTCAACCGACTTTCTTTATTGACCACCTGAATGAAGGATATTTCCATTTCGAGCGTAAAGTTGTTCCTCTATATGTCAAGGGTACCTTTGAAAGGAAAGCGGAAAAGTATTTTCCGATAGTTTATTGAACATCTTATTTGATTATACAATATATTGATATTACAGTAAATAGTACAGTGCATTGATGGCAATGGATCATGCGGTCTTATTATGAAACAAATACATTTTATATATTGTATTTTTTTGCTCATTTATTAATAGAAATTCTTTGATCTATAATTAAAATTTCACAGTGTTAACAGTATTACTATCAAAAATAATGTTCGATAGCAAAATTCCTGCTTCCTTTTCATTCCTTATTTGTTTGTTATAAATCAAACAAAAAAGGAGCCTTTGCGTTTTGTTTCGAATCTTTACAACAGTAAATTCAAAATAGGCATTCTTGCATTTGATAGCCGTAGCATTAATACAATGAAGATTAGTTCTCTTGGTTCATTTTTCGAAACTGCTTTGGTTCATTGACAACTTTAATCGAGGATGACGATAGCAAGCTATGATTTTTTTTCCTTAAATGCATTCAATACTTTTCCAAATTAAGAATGCGTACAATAGAAGATGATGATCATAGCTTTCCCAATCGGAATCTTGTTTCCCCCATCTGGTTGAAGTATTCACATTTCTGCGGAATTAACGGACGATGCAGTCCCGCATTCAGTTTGTCCCCCTGGAAATGGACATCTCAGCGCATCTCGCTGAATCTTGTTTGGATTAAAGTTAACCGCAGGCAATATTTTAGAGTAACCTGAAAAATAACAACACTATTAAGGCTAAGTCGGTTTGTCTTGTGACATCCGTCGGGTAACAGATAATGAAAACTTCGGTATCAATTATGAGTATACAGTATTTGTATTTACTTTTCGGAAGATTTTAACACTACGTCCCTTTTCCTATTTTAAGATTCATGTGCTTCATAGTTGCTGAATTTAATCAGTTTCTTTTTTCAATACGTAATGTTTACGGGGGAATTCTGTCGATGCTACTGAATTAATGAAATGTTCAACTTCGGGAAATGAGACTCAAAGATTTACATTGCATTTATGAAATTTCCGAGTAAATATGGCCTTTGATTAATAATAGATGTTAATCATTATGAAAAATTATAAAAGAGCGTGATTTAGCTGTTTTATTTTAGCGGCTATTGAAAAAAAGCAAATTGATTCCCAAGTATATCAATCTTTCAGAGAAACGTAGTCATTAGCACGGTCAAATATTAAAAAATTGCATATTGTACATTTTTTTCTTGTAATATTAATTAAGAATGACGGAGTACGAAGAGGATATAATACCAGTCATAAATCCTGATCCTCCACTGGATTCATTTAAAATACACTCCACAGGGAAAAGCTCACCCAAATTGTTTGAAAATTTCACGGGATCTCTAACTCGACTTGGCCATTCCCTTTTGAGTTCCAATTCGATAAAAAGAGAAGATGACGTTTACATTGATATCGCTGAAAAAGTTGCCATAGAAAATGACATAAGCATCATTTCGTGTTCTCCAGATAATGAATACGTGGCAAGTTGGTGTAGGGAGGACGGCATTTTAGCAGTTTGGCCCATTACGAAAGGTCGCATTGGTGGGCGATTATCACCGAGTTTTGCGGTGAAAACACCTTTTGATAAGACTAACGTTGATGGCTCAAAAGTTTATCTTTCTGTCTCTGAGGAAGGAAAATATGTTGTAATATCACGAATGAAAATTATTGATGGTGAAGAAGAGGAAACGCCTAATTTGGAGATTATCCCAAATGTCGAGAGTGAAAAATTAGCTGGAAAGTCATTGGATATCACACCGCATTCCTCGTTTGTGGTCTATTCTACGGCCCCGCATTTACCACAAGATCCGAAATTAAATGACCTAGAAATACTGGGTCCACTGATATTTGTGCACCACTCGAGATTGGTCTGCTTTACGAAACGCGATATGCATATATTCTCCACGAAATCGTGGAAAATTATTAATAGCATTCGCATTTCCCAGTTGATACGGTCGACGCCAGGGTATAATCATGATAAAAATCAATTCTTGGCGGATGTTTATGATATCCTGATAGATAACCTGAGATACGACTCTTTATTATGGCCGGAAAAAGATCAAGGATTGAGTGTTTGGAATTTAGATGGACTTCTGAAGCAATGGTTTTATCTTGAATCCAAGAGCGTGTCGCAAAGTGATAATCTATACGCCATTTCAAGAGATGGAAGCTTGGTGGCTAGGTAATCGTCAGTTTATGTCTTTGTTAAATTTATCACGTGATATAAACAGACAAATAACGTTTTTGTTTTAACGCCAAAGGTTCCATGAGAGATCAGGATATCCGCATGGCGTCTTAACCATTTTCCACACACCCACAGCACTGACCATATCTGACATCGATGTTCCAAAGACAGTTTTTCACATCGCTTTTCTACACAAATGCGATAGGATGATAGTATGTTCATATGAAAATTCATCGGGGAAATATGTTCGTGTACAATTATATTGTTGTTGGAGCGGGCTACTCGTGAAAGAAGCCACGTATCCTGACATAGACGTCGAAAATCTCTTTCTATTTAACGGAGATACATTTATACAAGCCAAAGCAAATGAACTCGCAGTGGTACCTTTATTCCAGCATGGTACACCGAAAAAGGTTGAACGTTTGTCACTCATAACTGAATGTCAACCTACGGAAGATGGTCTTTTGATATCGACCATGCTAGATCCACAATCGACATGTTGGGGTCAAATCCACGACAGCGAAGGTAACGAACTTTGTCGATTTAAATTTGAACCGTGGAGATCTTATAAGGCCCCCCATATGTTCATAACCTGGTTAGATGAAACAAGGTTTTTGATGGCCGGGAAGGATAGCATACAGATATATCGGATAAAACCCAGAGGATCCTTACTAAAGACTGAATTACAGTACATCTGGACGGTTCCAGTTACTCGAAATTCCGATATTAAATTTCTATCACTAGAGACGATACAAGACAAGGATGGGTTGGATTGTTATTACCTTCTGGTACAGTTGACAGATCAACACGATGTAAGAATTCCACTCCCCTCGAAGGAAGATAAGCTTAGCTGCAAGATTGTTTCGGATGCGTGCATGGCGGTGCATTTTTTGAGATTACAATTTGGCGAGGAAAGTGAATATCTTAATCATTTGGGGATCAAGGAACAGTTACACAAGCTGATTGAAAGTGCGGTGGAAAAGTATCCATCGGCTTTCAGCAAAATCACCACCGGAAATGGTGAGACCATCTATCCGATGGAGGATTTTATACTGCTATCATGGGATAAAGTTGTCAGGGATATACTTGACTCCAATCAATACATTCCCCTCTTTCACAACGAGGAACAGTCCGAGAGTGCTTTATCATTACTGGTCGAACTTCAAAAATCAGAGTTAGTCGAACGCATGATTTCATACATAATAAAGAATCTCCATCAACGTTATAATCCAATGCGCGCGAAGTTTGCAAATTCTTCCGTGGAAAGTTTTAAAATGCGGCTACAACAACCTGGATTCGCCTGGACGATTGGAAAGGTATTACTGGACTTGTACAAATACTATCCTGATAAAGGTGCTAGGGTGTTGAGGGAGTGCAGTTACTTTACCACATCGCTGGAGACGCCAGTAAGAATCCTGCAGACAAACTTGGGAAAGCCATTTACTGGCGAGGAAAGAAGTTTTCTCCCAGAATTAGCAGCTGTCACGAGAAAAGCGCAACTCCCCAAAGAACTAATGAAGGCTTACGATGGTCGGAAGAAATTCGCGGATTGGCTTCGCTCCACATTTTCAAGACCCTCCGAGATCCGGAAAGATGACAAGAATTCACCAAAATATCTATGCGAAAAAGGAATAGGCGCATATGGTAGTTCGACATTTATTGAAAGTGAAAAGAAATTTCTGATAAACAGAGAAAGTCACATGTATCGAAAGCAGCTTCGTAAACAACGGTTAGATAATTTGCAGAAAACCCATCCGGCGAAATTGTGTGTAGTGCCGTTACCAGATTTTTGCGTTTACCCGACTATTCCCGAGAATTACGACGATACAACTTATCAGCGAATGAAAAAGTTCTGGAACTGGTATATTGCACCGTCACAAATGAGTCCCTTTGCAGACATTGCCATAAACGGACCGCGAGAATTGTTTGGAGAAGTTGCAATGGAGGCAATAATAAAGTTCAAGTGGTAGGTTTAAATTTGATTTATGGTATAACATTATATGTTTGAAACGCTTATATATACAACAAAAACTCATTATACATGAATTCTTAGGGAAAAATTCGCGAAAGCCTACTTCTTAAACTCATTCATTTTATACTTAACATATGCGATCCTTTTCTGTGTAACAGTTAGCATCGATTACGACTTAGTGCTCGACACATCAAAGAAAGTAGAAACCTGGAAGAATACCTTATTCATAATTGTCACCGTCATCTCGTTTGTCTTCTTGCTTCAAGAATTTCGTCAAATGGTCGGCCGTTGGAAAATTTATTTCTCAAGCTTCTTTAATTACATCGATCTCGCTTCATACGGGTTACCGTTGGCTACAAGTTTAATGGTCATTGCTGTGAAAAGTGATCCACCGGCGTGGTTGAAAAGTTTTGCGGTACTAATGGTGTGGTTCAACGCTTTGTTGATGTCAAGAGCTTTTGCCGGACCAGGAAAATTTATTGCGATTTTAATAGAAATTGGAAAAAAGATTATAACATTAATTATGACACTGGCCGTTATTGTCATTGTACGTTCTCTGATCCTCCTGCTTTGGAAATTGCAAATTAACATAATCTCACAAATATTCTCTTTCCGGCAATAGGGCTTCGCGAATGCGCTATTCGTTCTTCTGCGCAATGTCGATCCAAATGACATCGTGAATACCTACAATGGTTCGATTTCAAATTCGTCAGGCGGCGTCGTCGGGAATCTAACCATACAACAAGACATCAGGTCCGACACCAACCAATGGACAAGATTCGATTCGGCCTTATTCGCTACGTATAAATTCCTGGGTATAGGGTGGGAGTCTGTCACCAACATTGAACCTACGTGGTCTCTTAACCTTATGATGTTATTGTTCAGTAAGTCTTCCATACAGTATTGCCTAATTTGAAAACGTAAACAACAGATGACTTTTGATTTACATTTTATTGCCTTAAATAACAGGTTTCGTGACAGTGATCATTATACTAAACGTTCTAATCGGTCTTATAACCGAGGTATTCGTCGGTAGCCTTCAGGTGGGGCGTCAAGCGTGGTTAAGACAACGTGCGGAACTTATAGCCGAGCTTGAACTATTCTCCCTCACTCCCAAAGATCGACAGAAGTCAGACTGGTTTCCCCATTTGGTATACTACGAAGCACATTTGGACTCTATAAATAGATGGCAACGTAAATTGTATCAAGAGGAGAGAGGAGATTTGGATGTGGATTTTGTCCGGAGCGAGTTAAAAACGGTCAAGGATGACCTTGAGGACGAGTTGAAAGAGCTGAAAGGGATGGTGGGACATATTAAAATTGCAATGGGTATCGGGAAGATGCCTAGTGACGGAGATACAGTTGGTGGGGCTAAGTTTAGAAGTGAGCGAGATGGCAATATCACGCTTCATTGATAATGTGAATTTGAGTTAGTTAATTATATTAGTTTCAAAGGGACAACGTAGACAAAAAAAAAAAAAGGACAATTCCATAATAGTGTACTTTACAATTTAGTTTTAATTTTTTTTAAAAAAAAAGTAAGAGTAGTTTTTAATATTTTTAGGCAAGGTTAACCTTTGCTCATCTGTAAAAGTTTTAACATCTCGAACCATTTCAAAAAGAAATAATTTAATTTAATCACTGATAGCACTTTCAATCTTTCAATTTGATCAGAAGAAATTGTTTGTTTTTTATTTAGTTCACGTAACACTGAAAAACTTTCAGAGCACATTTTTAAAAGTTTGATTCTTAGTGGAACGCAATTAAAATTATTCCAGATGGAGGCATGCGATCAAAGGGAGCATTGTCCACACTTAGAACCCGTGGAGGAAAAACTATTTGAACTTAGGTCGCATCGATTATATGTTCTTTGACATATATTACCCGGAATGGCACCCGTCAACGTATTTTCCGAAAGAATTCTGTGGAGAGTAAAGAATAAATTTAACATACATGAAATAAAAAGTAACAAAAAAGATATACTTACAGTGTGTCCAATGTTATACTACCAATTTCGATGGGTATGTTACCACTTAATTTATTATTGCTCAAATCTAATTCTTTCAGATTATCTAGGTTTTTAAACGATGACGGAATACTTCCGGTCAATTTATTCGCGGTTAAACGTAACGATCTAAGATTATCCAGGGTTGATATTGAACTCGGAATTGTGCCCGTCAAATTATTTGTTCCCAGGTCGAGAGCAACTAGACTAGGAAATTTAGAAGAGTCAATCGAAGGAATTGAACCTTCTAAGCGGTTTCCTTGTATAACCCTTTATGAAAATCGATTAGAAGTTTGATCGATTACTATAACTTGTTAATAATGAATTATGTGACTTACAGGGATTTTATAGAATTAAGGAGCATCAAAGACGGTGGTATTGTTCCCGTCAATGAGTTTAGACTCAGGTCCCTGGCAACAGTAAAATGGATAAGTGAGTGATCAAGGTACCAAATGAAAGAAGCAATGTAAATTACAAAATCCATACAAATTCTGAAGATTTGGCTGTAGAGTCTTGCTTTCTCCCAAAAAATTTGGAATAGTGCCGGTGATTCCTTGACCTGATATGATCCTATGAGTAAAAGAGGTTTTAAATGTCTAATCAATCGCTTTCTTCAAAGAACAATAGACTTTAGGTGAATTCCCACATACAAAGTTGTTAACGACGACAATCCAATGGAAGAAGGGATAACACCACCGAGATTTTGATTCTTTGATAGGGTCCTATTCAAATTGTATATTGGTTAGCAATAAGATAATGCATTCAGCAAAAAATGAAGATTTGAACCTAGAAAACAATTAAGGTAATATTACAAAAACTTCAAAGATGTCATGTTATTAATGGTATCAGGAATGCCCCCGGTGAGCCCTGTCGAAACGATGCTCAGCGAAATTAAATTGGGTAATTGGAACAATGTTGTTGGGATTTTGTCACTTGGCAATGTCCCACTACCGGATATTGACCTATAACAATGCGATGAAGGTATTATTAAGATTGAATAAAAATTTGGTTGAAATGGAGATTGGGTTAAGCCGATCACTTACAAGTTTTGAAGCGTGATCAGATTTCCCATATCATTGGAAAGGGTGCTGGTAATATATGGGTTTTTCAAGGTTCTAAAGAGTAATTTCGTAGGTTAAGAACTTGGAAAAAATAATTAAACGCATATACGTAATTGATTGGACGCATTATTTTTTTATGAAAAAGGATACAGGGCAATAATATTCTTGTTGCTATCACAAGAGACGCCGCCCCATTCGCAAAATCGGCTGTTTGACATCCATCCGAGATCTTGTTCTAATGAGGTCTTATTTATGGCATTCGCCCAAATGCCTTTTAACACACAAAATGTGCTCACATTGTAAAAAACACCCGGATAACCCGTGCATTCTTCACACGGAAATTCTTTCGTTTGAGAACTCAGCATTATCATGCATACTATTGATTCGGTCGTCCTCAAATCTTGTGTATTTGGTGATGTGCTGCTGTTATTCCCTCCAACTCCATCTCCTCGATCTTTTTGCGATGGTAGAGTATTATTGGATCTTGAAAGAAAAATTACATCCAAGATTATAATGTTCACCAATAACAGCAACAACAATATTATTATTATTATTATTATTATACACCATAAACAATTATTATTACGATGCTCCTTTTTTACATATTTATTGTTTATGGGGAGTGTATCACGCCGCCTTTTCCAAAATCTCAGTTTCTTTGGAATGCATCCACATTTTCTATTACGGTCTTGGGATGTAACATTTCCGTTGCTATCCGTATATCCGTACTCGATAATGTTACTTTTTATTTTATTTTCCCGATTCATGACTTTTTCTTCTGCTCTTTGTACCTTCACCTCCTTTAATTTCTTAATTGTCCTTGTTTTCTCTCTTTCTGATCCACCGTTATCACTTTCTTCACTTTCTGATGAGAATGCCGAAAACTCCACAGTATCCGACGACTCTGTTCTTTGGTGTTGGTACGAATGACTGGCTAATAAGTTCGTATTGCTGTTATTATCGTAATGATTGTTAACGTATGAAAAATTGTAGCCAATATTTTTTGAGTTAGGAAAAGCTTTTTTTGAAGATTTAGCGAAGGATGTTTCCGTTCTTGTTGAATTTGAATTTGAATGATTCATGCGTTCATATACTTTGGTAGATGATGATTAAATAGTATCAAACTACTTTCTAATTTGACGTCGATGGTAATTAAATAAAGAATGAAAGAAAGGTGAATAAAAAAAGGCCAGCTTTTTCCTAATCTCCAGCAAGGAAAGTGCAAACGGTGCAGAAAGACGAATGGTGGGGATTATAATTTAAGGTCAACCCATACTGCATCAATGTCAACGATTGTCTTTTATAACATACAGTATTTACTCTTCAGAACCTTGTAGGGAATTATATACAATGCATTCTTTCACTCCGCACTGAAGACTGACCATTTTACGGTAACAATTGTTTAACATTAATCCTTGAAACATAAATTGAAACGATAGTAATTATGTACATGCATATGTTGTGATTACATATTTGATATACTGTCTATATATATTTCGGTGATACGTAATGGTGTAGACAAAAAACGCCGTGTTTGATTGTCTCGAAACAATGATTAAGACAAAGATTTAAATTAGTATATAAGATTGCTACCAACCTCATCAGTCCGTCGTGCCATAAAGTACTCTCGTTACTTTACAAGGAAAATAAGAATTAACGAATAACAAAGAAATTAGTCCAAACTAAACTGGGCATACTTTCCTGACAGTATTGTATCGTGCTGCGCATTTACAAGTCACATGTTTTTATTAACTTTATCAATTTAAAAAAATCTTCGAAAATCCTAGATAATCATCACTGTTTTTATCAAGGAAGTAAAAAAAAAAAGATTTATTAACTCTCAATAAGAAATAAATTCTTTGTCTTGACTGACAACAGATTCAACATATCTTCGTCTTTATTCTGAATTATGTCGAGTTACCGATATTATTTTGACATTGTTTTTTATCATATTTTAAAAAAATTTTTATAATTTACAATAAATACTGATTTTATTGTTTAAACAACTTTGATAAAGTAATTAATCACCAACATTAAATAACATTTATGAAAAATAATTAATTCAGATTAAACATTATATAGTGCATGTATTGTTATAGAAAAAACATTTTTACAATTATAAGTAATGACAATGAACTCATATATTGCCAAAAGCAACAATTTTTCATTAATGTAAATAGACAATATATTGTATATCTAATATGAAAACCAATTTATTAAAATTTTATAAAATACAATAGTGTAAGTCAAAAATAATTAAACAATACATGATTTTTATTTTTATAATATTTCAATAATTAACTAATAAAATAAGATAAACTAAGTTTACTTGATAAAGCTTTTAAAATATATATATTATATTATTAAAATTTGATTAAAATTTAATTTAAAAAAAATTTTTTTAAAAAAAGAAATAAAAAAGATTTTAATTACATATACATTATAAAATAGAAATAATAAAAAATTATTAAAATCATATCAATATATAAATTTGTAAAAATAATAAGAATTGTTTTTATATTAAATATAAAAGGTTATTTATTAATTAATTTAACTAAAAAATCCTAAATTTATTATTAAGTATAAAGTTTTTAAAATTTTAAATGTCTTAAAATCAATTTATAAAATAAAAAACAAATAATATTTATTAAACATAATAATAATTTTTTTATAAGCTTAAAATTTTTATTTGATTTAATATTTCATTTTTTAAAAAATTTCTATAATAAAATTTGGGGGTTTTTTTTTAAAAAAAAATTAATATTTCAAATAAATTTATTAATTAAATATTAATAAAACCTTTAATTTTTTTTTTTACAATCAAACTAATACTATTTATTTATTAAATTATATAAATTAATACAATATAAATTATATTATATATATAAATATTTTTCAACTTACTTATCAATAATATAAAGTTTTTAAATAATTTATAAAAATAATATATTACTTATATATTAAAAAAGATTGTATTTTATAAAATTAATATAATAATTTTAACTTATAACTATATTATAAAACAAATATTATATCTAATAATTTAACTATTGAAAAATAGCAACAAGATATTTTACAGTACAAATACATATGAAAACTCCATCCAACTAGATGCAGAAATAATACAGAAACAAGACAAGATCATAGATCACCTACTTACACTTAAAGATAATCATTATGCTAACGATAAGTTATGGTTTCACAAGATGATCCACAACTGTCTTTACAAAATCAAGACTGAAGAAATTGACCTGGAAATTTCATTTAACACTACCCCGTTGGATACTATTACAGCAAAAATAATAAATATTGATTCCAGACAAATTGTCAAAGCAGACATTATTTGCAGATATGCAAAAGATCTCTAGAGGGAAAACGAAATATGTATGTCCATACTTGATGAATACATTATCAAAGACCCATCAGACAGACTTATCATCTTCACAATCCTTAGGCCAAGTAAACAAAACTCTTAAGATAACCACCTAAAATCCACAACATTCACAAACAACATTTACTCTACACACCAAGAACAACCCTTAAACCAACAAGACCATCAGGCCCCAGCAAACCAGGACACAGGTCATATGGCACAGACATCCTCTCGCCCAATCGAGATGAAAATTTTAAACTCTGAATAGGAAGAGCCAACTACACCAGAAATAATTATGTCAAATACAGAAGGGATGCAAGAAACAATCACTTCAAATATTACAAGCTTGCAAGACCAGAAGATGCTTCTAAACATACTACTTGATATTCAGAAAAGTATGAACTACCAAACAAGAAACAGAACTATACAACCAATTAATCCATACTTTATTACAAAAAAAGAAGCATATACAGCAGACATTTTGGTAACAAACATACCAAGAGAAAACAAAGATGAACAAGTCAAGTACCTAATGAATATCTTCAAGCTATCTAAGACTGAAAGCAACCTCATCAACATGGAATTTACCAACAGAAACTACTGGTACATAATATACTTCAAACTATAGCTTAATCTCATAGGTTGTGTTGAAAAGACAAACAATAAGGAGAATGGAAATCTCAAGATCTTATATCTAAAAGAAGGACCAGAAAATGAAAAAAAAAAATCAACTAAGAAAGAGATATCACCTCAATTGCATGCCCAAACAACAACACAAGCATCCAAATTAACAAACATCCCACAACCTCCCAAAAAAGATGAGCCCATCAAGACACCAGCCATACCATCCAGCCAATCCAATATATATAACCTCAAGAATAGCTCATCATCCTATGGCATCAGCATACTGATAGGAACCTTTCTTGGAAACAATAGGAAAGAGCAATTAGACCTAATTACAAAGATCTTTGTAATTCCAATCGAAAGCTCATTCATCAATGTAGAACACATTCAGGGAAATGAATGGTTTACTGGTGTAAGGGGTAAAATAAAAATAGACAATAATAAAATATCTGTCTAACATTAGCAAGTGTCACGATAATAAGACCATA